AGTTTATCCCCGTGAAGTGGGGAGTTTGATCAGAATTCAAGATTTTCCCTGAACTGCAATTTATGTTTGCAATATTCTTCCCAGGAAGTTATTTTCCCAGTGACATCGATATTTAGGGGTCGACGGTTCCAAATCTCGATTCCCCATTGAAGTACAGATTGCCTTTTCTCTACAGAAGATCAGATGTGCCAGAATAATCGTTCGGAAGTTCTTTATCTTCTCAACAGTCGATTATTGATGTGTTTTCCAGTGCATTACTAAACATGCATCATTACATTGCATCTACTAAAACGCGTAGCATTTCCATTGTATGGAGCATTACGCTAAAAAAAATTCAAACATGCATGAGTATAAGCCAGTTATGTCCCCTTGCAGTAACCAGATTGTTATGCGCTCAGACTTGATTTATCTCTACAACAAGCCTAGGGTAATTGCCACTCTTGAAGAATTAACCCCCCGCCTCTGGCCTGAGGGATTTTTAGTTCTTGCGTATTTGCAACCTATCGAAAGCCCAACGTGTTTTGGTAATCCTTATTAGGGTCTGCTTTGACCAGTCCCTTTCTCTTGCAGAGTTCACCTTCGATCGGTGCTCTTTGAAGGCCCTGCTTAGTCGGTTCCTTGTTTTGGTTTATCCGAGTTAGTCGGGTCCTCCTTTCGTTAGCCTAGATAACTTTTTATAATTAAGAGTCTTTCAATGTCTCTTCAAAGTCCAGTTGTTTGGCGCCCTTGTTTAGGCGAATGCATCTTTTTTTATTGGGGCTTTCTTCGTTTAGTCTCGTTCCCGTGTCCACTATCAATTCTAAACATTTGTTTCTTGATGATCAACTTCTCTCTTGTGTATCTAACTTTGACCGGATATGCTACCTTTATCATTTGTTGAGAGTCCCCTTCGGCTGGTCTCTTTACAGTTGTAAGTTCTCCTTCGACTGGCGTTCTTTTCTTAGGAATCTACCTTCGGCATAGTATTCCTGGATGAAGATTCCCCTTCGGCTGGTTTCTTTATCCTAAAGTCCACCTTCGGCTGGCATCCTTTAAAGCCCACCTTCGGCTGGCATCCTTTAAAATCCACCTTCGGCTGGTACCGTTTGTTGAGAGTCCCCTTCGGCTGGTCTCTTTGCAGTTGTAAGTTCGCCTTCGACCGGCGTTCTTTTCTTAGGAATCTACCTTCGGCATAGTATTCCTGGATGAAGATTCCCCTTCGGCTGGTTTCTTTATCCCAAAGTCCACCTTCGCCTGGCATCCTTTAAAATCCACCTTCGGCTGGTACCGTTTGTTGAGAGTCCCCTTCGGCTGGTCTCTTTGCAGTTGTAAGTTCGCCTTCGACCGGCGTTCTTTTCTTAGGAATCTACCTTCGGCATAGTATTCCTGGATGAAGATTCCCCTTCAGCTGGTTTCTTTATCCCAAAGTCCACCTTCGGTTGGCATCCTTTAAAATCCACCTTCGGCTGGTACCGTTTGTTGAGAGTCCCCTTCGGCTGGTCTCTTTGCAGTTGTAAGTTCGCCTTTGACCGACGTTCTTTTCTTAGGAGTCTACCTTCGGCATAGTATTCCTGGATGAAGATTCCCCTTCGGCTGGTTTCTTTATCCCAAAGTCCACCTTCGGCTGGCATCCTTTAAAATCCACCTTCGGCTAGTACCGTTTGTTGAGAGTCCCCTTCGGCTGGTCTCTTTACAGTTGTAAGTCCGCCTTCGACCGGCGATCTTTTCTTAGGAATCTACCTTCGGCATAGTATTCCTGGATGAAGATTCCCCTTCGGCTGGTTTCTTTATCCTAAAGTCCACATTCGGCTGGCAGCCTTTAAAAGCCCGCTTCAGCTGGTATCTTTCAAAATCCCGCTTTAGCTGGTATCTTTCAAAATCCCGCTTCGGCTGGTATCTTTCAAAATCCCGCTTCGGCGGGTATCATTTGTTAAAATCCCGCTTCGGCTGGTATCTTTCTAAAAAAACTGCTTCGGCTGGTATCATTTGTTAAAATCCACCTTCGGCTGGTATCATTTGTTGAGAATCCCCTTCGGCTGGTCTCTTTGCAGTTGTAAGTCTGCCTTCGACCGGTGTTCTTTTCTTAGGAATCTACCTTCGGCATAGTATTCCTGGATGAAGATTCCCCTTCAGCTGGTTTCTTTATCCTAAAGTCCACCTTCGGCTGGCATCCTTTAAAGTCCACCTTCGGCTGGCATTCTTTAAAGCCCACCTTCGACTGGCATCCTTTAAAATCCACCTTCGACTGGTCTCATTTGTTGAGAGTCCCCTTCGGCTGGTCTCTTTGCAGTTGTAATTTCGCCTTCGACCGGCGTTCTTTTCTTAGGAATCTACCTTCGGCATAGTATTCCTCGACGAAAATCCCGCTTCGGCTGGTATCTTTCAAAATCCCGCTTCGGCTGGTATCTTTCAAAATCCCGCTTCGGCTGGTATCTTTCAAAATCCCGCTTCGGCTGGTATCTTTCAAAATCCCGCTTCGGCTAGTATCTTTCAAAATCCCGCTTCGGCTGGTATCATTTGTTAAAATCCCGCTTCGGCTGGTATCTTTCAAAATCCCGCTCCGGCAGGTATCTTTCAAAATCTCGCTCCGGCAGGTATCTTTCAAAATCCCGCTTCGGCTGGTATCATTTGTTAAAAACCATCGTCGACTGGTATCATTTGTCAGGAGTCCCATTTGTTGGTCTCTTCCCTCAGTAAGTTCACCTTCGACTGGTGTTTTCTTTGTAAGAGCTTTCTTCGGTCTGTCTCTTTCATATGTATCTGATACCGACCATGGATATGTATCTTTGATGTCTCTTTTGTACGTGTCTGATACCGACCACGGATATGTATCTTTGATGTCTCTTTTGTGCGTATCCGATACCGACCACGGATATGTATCTTTGATGTCTCTTTTGTGCGTATCCGATACCGACCACGGATATGTATCTTTGATGTCTCTTTTGTGCGTGTCCGATACCAACCACGGATATGTATTTTTGATGTCTCTTTCTTACGTATCCGATACTGACCACGGATATGTATTTTTGATACTTGCTTCATATGTCTGCTACCAACCCCAGACATGTGTTCTTGATATCTTTGTAAGAGCTTTCTTCGGTCTGTCTCTTTCGTACGTATCCGATACCGACCACGAATATGTAACTTTTCTATCTCTTTCTTACGTATCCGATACCGACCACGGATATGTATCTTTTCTATCTCTTTCTTACGTGTTCGATACCGACCATGGATATGTATTTTTGATGTCTCATTCTTGCGTATCCGCTACCAACCCCAGATATGTGTCTCTGATACTTTTTTTCGTATGTCTGCTACAAACTTCAGGCATATATCTTTCTTACAGGTGTTTGTTACTAAATCCCAACAGAGATCCTCGATAACCAAGTTGTCCTTCGGTGTGTCAAACTCCGGTTAAACATACATCTAACCCCTTTAACCTAGAAAGCAAAATAATATAATAAAAATAGATTCCGAAAACGAAAAAATAATAATACCTGACTGACTCTGGAGTGCAAATTTTCGGGTTCTTTTAAGTACTTAATCTTCTTCCACCTTGAAAGTTCGAAAGGCTGGCACCAATCTCACCTTCAGGTTGAAGACGATTAAATAGGGGCAGCTGTTGCACCCCAAAATTTGCCCTCCTAATTTCTTTTATTTTGGCTTAGACTTTTGCATTCATCTGCATCTATTTCATTAGGTCACTAACATGGCATACATTTCATTCAATATAGCTCTGAGGTTCAAAGTCCAGTGGTTGTGTGATACTAGGGTTTCCCAGTGGTTAAGGCGCTCGTATCCAATAAGGGATGATTTCTTATTCAGGCAGCAAGCTGTGGAATTAGGGTTTTGGTTCATTCTTTTTTTTGGATTTCTTCTCCATCAAGCTACAAGGTTATTATCTTCTGTTGAACAATAAGTTGCAGGGTATTCCTGTCAATAACATAAGGTTGTGATCTCGCGTACATGATTCAAAACTCCTCATTCTATCATTGTGCTTGTCATTTGGTCAAGGTTTTGTCAATACTAGAGGTGTATTAAGATCTTCTCTAAAGGATCAAGATCTGTTATCAATCCAGGATGCATATGATGCTTGCATTACAGGTTGTTGACTATGTCATTGTTGCATTAAGTTCATCTATCCTTAAGTTAATCAATTAGGATTGGGTATGTCATGATTTAAGATATTTTGTATGGTAAATTTGGTTGCTTGACGATCAAGGTATTGCGAATAATTGGTACAAGCTATTGTTTGGATATTTGTGCAAGAACTTTGGTTTCAAACATGGATTAAAGTTCAACTTGATAAAAAAGGAAATAGCATGCCTGAAGGTTTATTTCATAAATTCTTGCGGAGGAAGATGGCACATGAATATAAGTTGAGATTAAAGTACATGGTATCAAGTAAATCTCTTCATGATTCAAGTTGTTATTTTCAAGATTATCCCACATCATTGTTCACCCCAAGGTAAAAGATAAAAAGATTCATTTAAATAACATTCGAGTGTTTATCATGTTTGTCTCAAGTTCATTCAAGTATCCATTCAAGCTCAAACTGAATGAGACAAATGTTTTTAATAATTGGAAATTTGTCATGCAAGAAGTTATAAAGTTTTGTTCATTACAAATTCAAGTCATTACACCGAAGTTACAAAAGACATCTCAGTCATCAAAGTTTCAAATTCCAAGTACAAATCATCATCATTTTTTTACAAATATTCGTCATCATTCAAGGTTAAAAGAAGATATCCTAAGGGAAGCTGAGCAGTATAACAATGCCATAATGGTTATTCATGAAACAGATGATGGGCAGATATATGATGCTTGGGAGCAAGTAACCTCTGATGTAATTCAAACACCACTCGAAGTTTTTAAAAGCTTGGAAGCTGATGGATTTCCCATAAAGTATGCAGGTGTGCCCATCACTGATGGAAAAGCTCCTAAAAGTTCTGATTTTTGACACAATGACTTTTAATATTACTTCTGCTACAAAGGACACTACTTTTGTTTTCAATTGTCAGATGGGTAGGGGCAGAACAACCTCAGGTACTGTCATAGCTTGCCTTGTGAAACATCGAATTGATTACGGGAGGCCTATTAAAATACTGGGAGATGATGTAATCCAGGAAGATGTGGATGGAGGTTTCTCAAGTGGAGATGAAGTTGGGGGTTATGTCGGTGCCCCCAATAATTTGCAAACAAAGACAGATGAAAAACAAAAGCATGTTTTTGGTATAAATGACATCCTCTTGTTATGGAAGATAACGGCATTTTTTGATAATGGGGTGGAGTGCCGAGAGGCCTTAGATGGTATTATTGATAGATGTTTTGCACTTCAAAACATTCGCCAAGCTGTTCTAGAATATAGGAAAGTATTCAATCAACAACATGTTGAGCAAAGGGTAAGGAGGGTTGCATTAAATCGTGGTGCTGAGTACTTGGAATGGTATTTCCGTCTTATTGCTTTTGCAGCATATCTTGGAAGTGAAGCATTTGATGGGTTCTGTGGAGAAGGTGAATCCAAAGTGTCATTTAAGAATTGGTTGCATCAGAAACCAGAGGTGCAGGCTATGAAATGGAGCATAAGATTGAGACCTGGATGATTTTTCACTGTTCCTGAAGAGTTAAGAGCACCACAAGAGTCTCAACATGGAGACGCAGTGATGGAAGCATTCGTTAAGGCCCGTAGTGGTTCAGTTCTGGGAAAAGGCTCCATTCTAAAAATGTATCTCTTTCCTGGTCAGAGAACTTCTAGCCATATACAAATACACGGCGCTCCGCATGTTTACAAGGTTGATGATTACTCAGTGTATTGCATGGCGACTCCAACCATCTCTGGTGCCAAGGAGATGCTAAAATATCTGGGTGCTATTCTTGAAGCAAAAGGCTTAGCTGCTCGAAAAGTAATTTTAACTTACCTGAGAGGAAGCAGTTGTCTATATCAAGGGCACTCCCTTTGTTCTGAGGGAGTTAAACAAACCCTATGATACACTCAAGCATGTCGGAATCACTGGTCCCGTGGTGGAACACATGGAAACACGGTTGAAAGAAGATATAATAGCTGGAATTAGACTGTCTGGTGGGCTGATGCTGTTTCACCGTGAAGAGTATAACCCTTCAACAAACCAGTCTAATGTCGTTGGTTACTGAGAAAACACAGGATAATTCAAATGCAGCTTCAACACAAATCCTACTGGCCACTTGGAACTCAACCTGTAAAATCGCATTAAAACAATCCACAATCAGAACCAAAACTAATAATCCAATGACATAAACTTCAGCTTGCCAACTAACTATTCTTAACAGATTTTCTAACTTCTCACTTTCTCTATAACTAACTTCTACTAACTGCCTAACAGAGTAACAAACTCCTCTAACAGTTTCTAACTCCTAACCGTCATAACCAATTTCTAACAGAAAATCCATAACTTTAAACAAACTTTTCTAACTGCTTTCTAACAGATTTACTAACTTCCTAACCGCTTAACTAACTCTTAATCAACTCTCAGCAATCTATATAACAGAATTTCAGTTTTCAGATTAAGGGAGATTCATTATTTTTTAACTCTACAGAATAGATTTAACTATAGAAACTTACCAATTCACATTGATTCTGGAATTCTGCAGAGGAATCTCCATAAACCTCTTCCTTCTTCCCTCCCATTCATCCTCATCACAACCTCTTCACTTTGTATCATCAACCTTCTTCATCTTCATCTTCTACTTCAGTCATCTCCAAGCTTCTTCAAACAAGAACACGCTCCTACAAAAATATTGAATCCACGACCACATCAGTTTTCTTCTCTGCTCCTTCAACATAATGACGCAAATACACAAACGTAGAAAGCAACAATTCACAGAAAAACGCAAGAGATTGAGTAGAAGAAGAATCGAGAACAAAGTCATACGAGAATAGAAGAAGTTCTAGATGTTTTCTCCAGTAGTTTGAAACGAAAGTATGGTGATTAAGAACCCGCACGGAAGCATGAAGAAGATAAAACAATTAAAGAAGAACGACACCACTAAAGCTTGAAAGTGATGCCCGTGGTCTTGAGAATAACATTGTGAACGGATAAAGGAAAAGCGGAGATGGTGAGATAATCGCAAATAGAGTAATTAGAGGCTGAGGCCATCACAACTGTGAATGGAGGGCGTGTTTTTAGAGGAGAAGAAGAAGCATCAGAAGCGAGAAAAGTGACAAGAAGACATACCTATACGTCGAGACCTTCATCAGAGCATTTTATTCTCCATCACCGTCATGAGGAATTGCCGGATCGGAGGAGGGTACAACGATGAAGATGAAGAGACCAGCAGCGCTGTCGTGGAGGAAGAAGGGCGGTGCATAGCTTTCTAACCCTAAAACCCCTTTCCAATTTCATATCTTTTTCTTTTTAGTTTTAATTGTTGCATTGTTTTATTATTTTTTTATTCAAATTAATAATAATTATGACTAAGTAAATCTGGATTGGATGTGGTGATGTTGGACCGAATCTCCTCTAAGACCCGTTTTGATTTTTATGCCTCAAACTTATGATACAAAAAAGGCTATTGTTGGACCTCACTACTGCAATGGGCCTAGCATCAGCTTGCTATACAGTACCTCTGGTTTCTGCTTGCACCCTAGGCTTATTTTCATTACAATTTCTCTTTTATTTGATTTGATTACTTGCTTAGAATAGAATCTTAATGCTTGTTTACATTTCTTGACATGATAAAATGCAAAAAATATTATAATAGAATTTTACTTCTTTTATTAACTTTATTTTTTTTGTTATTTTATCCATGTTTTTTTGGTAAATTTTAATGCCAAATTTGTGTGGGATTTTGAAATAAAAAGATACTTGAGTGAGGAGTTTCATGAAGTTTCAAAGCTAGCTAAGAGCATAATCTTCAATCACTCGCTCAAGGAGGCTTCTGTAGAGTTTTCTTATGGCCTGCGTGGTTATGAAGAGGCAACGGACCTTCTCCGTTCGGTATCGTCACAACTCTATTTTATTCTTCATTTCCGTACTTTATCGCAAATCATACGCATGCTAACATTAGGTAGAATTCCCTCAAAATTCTAACTTTAGGTCAAACAATACATAATAACATTAGGTTTAGAAGTAAGCTAGTCTCCTTTTGACTTTTCTTTCCCTTTCACATACGCACCTAAAACTAAAACTTCTTTTTTTCTTTTCGAAATTCAAAACACTTTAAAACTACTGATGAGAATCACGCTTTTGCTTAGTACGGGAAATGATAAGCGGGTCTCTTCTCGATCTTATTGTTCTTCATCTCAAGCATAGGTGTGGTTCAATTCTCAAAGACTCCTTTCATGACTAAGTAGAAAAATGACTAATATCTCTCTCTTGAAGTCGACTAGTCATTATCTGCAACAAAAATATAAACCAATTCAAATCTTTTGTGCGCTCGAGTACTTTTCAGAAAAACCCTTTTCAGGTAAGGACACGATTAATTTACTTATGTGCCAATGCATAAGTCTCCAAAGGTCGAGCTGCGGCAGAAAGCAGAATTAACTTCGTCCACAAAAAACATCTACAACAAAATATAAACCAATTCAAATCTTTTGTGCGCTCGAGTACTTTTCAGAAAAACCCTTTTCAGGTAAGGACACGATTAATTTACTTCTGTGCCAACGCATAAGTCTCCAAAGGTCGAGCTGCGGCAGAAGGCGGAATTAACTTCGTCCATAAAAAACACAAACAAACAAAAACATATAAGCCGAACTACGGCTGCTCTGATTCCTTAAAAGGGATACGTAGGCATTGGGGTAGGGTCCAAGCGAGCACAATTTTTATTTTCCCTACATTCTTTTCTCCTTTACTTTGCATGCATTCCCTTAAGTAGTATAGTAAACAGTAAGCATAGATTAGACACACCCATAAGATAGACAACAAGAGTGGATACCGTAGAGTACTACGGGCGTGTGGGGTGCTAATACCTTCCCCTCGCGTAACAGACTCCCTTACCCTTATCTCTTGGTCGTTCGACCTTGATTTCACCCTTTTCAGGTTTTCTCGATGTTTACCTTTCCCTTCCTGTGGGATAAAAGACGTTCGATGGTGACTTCATTGTTTTGATGATTTTCAGCCGGTTGTTTCACGTGTCATGAGAAAAATTACAGATGAATTTTGGTCGAAGTGATTGAAAATGACTGGCATAGCTTGGTTTTCTTGTATTTTAAAATAATGTGAAACACACATGAATCAAAGATAGTAAAACTCCGACCGTTCTTTCTGAAAAATATTCAGAGAAGCTCGAGACCATCTGTTGGACAGAGTATGGAAATAAACACATGATTCTATGGAATTCTTTGATGAATGAGTCTTTGAGAATTAACGACCGATCGCATTTCTACCCCGAGACTCGAAACCCTAATTGATGTGTGACATCCGATGCTCTTCTTTCAGATCTATTTCCTGCACATGAAATCAAAAACAACAAAACATACACTTCGTGCTTGATTAGTGGTTATCATTCATAAGATAAAAATGCTCACAACGCTCAACAATCTCTACACAGTCAAAGCTCGAAGGTGAAACGTTCGAAACCTACCATGTTCTATGACATTGATATATATATAAAACAATGCAAATGAATCAGGGATCTTAGGTCAAAATTGGGGTATGACAAAGGTGAATTATCATCATTTCACTATGTTGTATGAACTATCATCATTTCAAAAACCATGATAGCGGAGAATAAACAGATAAATATTATATTTTAAAAAGAAATGTTGTAAATTTATCAACCGAATTGAATCAAACCGAACTAAACTGATTAGTTTGATTTTATTCTATTTTTAAAAATCACTAAAATCATACCAAATCAAACGATAGAGATAACATCAGTTCGAAAATTTTCTTAACGAAAAACGGATACAAACTGAACTGAATGCACCCTTACTTTGATTAAAATAATTAAATAAAAGAATATAGATAATCTTTTATGATAAGTATTTTTAAGTAGACAAAAAAATGTACTAACATATATTCAGTTTTATCGTAATAATTAATCAGTATTGTTTTCTTTTTATATTTTAAGTATTTATTATTTATTTTTCTTTTAATTTTCTTAATTTACATTTTTTATATAATAATAAAAGACAATTTTATAAAATTATTTTTAATTTTTTAATGTAAAATTAATTATACTTCTTAATAAATGAAAAGTACAACACAACTTATAATGCATGCATGTAACTTGTTAACGTCTGAGTGTAATTGATTATAAGTTTCTCCGCCTATTTCAATTCGTCGATTACAATGTCCCGACTGATCACGATCCTTATATTTTCAACATCAAACAGCTTGTAACCTCCAGTGGCATGATACCCTACTACTTTCATCATAACCTTTATCATTCAACTTCTTTCTATGTTGGCCCGGAACATGTCGATACGCCATGGAACCGAAAAATCTCAAATGGTTTAGATTCAGCTTGAATCTAGACCATGCTTCTTCCGATGTTATCTTCTCAAATTTCTTTATAGGACACTTATTCAACAAATAGGCAATTGTGGATACCGCTTCTCCCTACAACTCTTTCGGCGAGTTCTTCCCTTTCAACGTGTTTCTCACCATGTTCATAATTGATATAT